CAGGCAAAAGGTTAATAGAGCATTGGTCCTTTTTTAATTGAAAAAATGACTGAGGGACCATGTAGCAGACCGAGCAGTAATATTATTACAGGCTGTAAGTACTGTTCCAGAGACTTACTGTTCATCTGGGAGCAGAGTAATGAGCACCGGGCTGCGTCTCCTGCCTCGGCAGGAATGCGGGCTCACTCGCGAACAGGTTCATAACCAGCTCGCCTCTGAAAATGGAGATGATTTTATAAATGTTTGTCTTCCTCTACAAACTTTGCGTCTGGCACGGTCCTGCAGCGCAAAGTAATCTGAATCATGGGCAAAATTGATTCCTCCAAATCACACCTCGGCAGCACGAGAAGGGGCTCGGGGCTGGGCTGGGCTTCGTGTTTATGGGGTAAGAGGGTACAAGGTGGTGCCTTCTGATACGGCATATTTGGCAACACTCCCCCGGGTGTAAATCAGCGTCGCGGTACTGGTCTCAGGGAAGTGACACCGCTTTGCCTCGCCGGCGGGTTGTCTGTACTGGGAGGAGCGTGGTCCCTCCCCGCAGGTCCCGGGGCTCCCCACTCGCAGCACGGGCCCATCGTGTCCCCCGCACGCGGGGCTGTGGATGCACCTGCAGGTGAGGTGTCTGTGGGCTGAGCCTGCCCTGAACGAGGCCACCTCGGTGCTTAAACAGGAGGTTTCTCCTCCAGAGGTTGGGTTTAAAACCCCAGGGAAAATCTGTGTGCACCACTACAAGAAATGAAGATAATAAACGAAGCCAATAGTGTGGGAAAAGCCTGAAAAAATGGGCCTTGAGACTAAAACTACCCTGCAATCCTCTGGGGGAAAGATGCTCAACCAGTAAATAAAAGTGAAACTTGTACAAATTATGGCAGTAAATTATAACGTGAAGAAATACTGAGCTTAATGTCCCTTATGAAGGGGAGGAGCAGAGCTGATGGTCACTAGTCACTGACCCTCCCGAAGCCAGGGGGGGCTGCTGAAGGTGTTAAAACCAGAGGATCTGGGGAGGACGAAGCAGTGGAGGAGGAGAAGGAGGAGGGGACGGGGGCGACTCTCAAAGCACGTGGATGCAGCAGGGGTGGCTGGGCTGGGCAGGGACCCGGGGCGGGGGTGTCCCCATCCCAAAGCTCCACGACAAGGCAGCACGGTGGAGGCGGGGGCTGGGGAAATGAGAGAGCAGTGATGGAGGTCGCTAATTGGGGCAGATGGCCCTCGGGGCTAATTGCAGCAGGCAGGTTTGGGCCTCGTTCAGCCCCAACATCCCGGGGAGCACCGTGACCCCTCAGAGCCGTCAGCAAGAGGGATGAATGGCACATCCTGCGAGAGGAGGAGGAGGAGGAAGAGGAGGAAGGCCTCCTGGAGAACCTGACAGAGAAAGGGAAAACCACATTTCAGCCCGCAGGGATGCAGAGAACCCCGTCCTCTCCCTCCGGGTTGGTTAACGCCGGCCTGGCCAGGGGAAGAGATGGGTAATGCTGGGCAGGAGGTTTACTGGGGCACCGGGGTGAGCACCCAGCTGGGACCAGAGCATCTCCCGAGGAGGGGCTGCGACGGGCAGGCCCGGCACTGCAGACAGGGCTAATTGATGAGGAATTGCCATCGGAGCGCTGTGTCATCCCCAGGAGCTGAACTCCGGCCGGCCGGGAAGCCAGGCTGTTAAACAGGTTGTGGCGGTACTTTGGGCTGGGGAGGATTTATGCTCCGGAGGAGCAGCTCTATCCGTCATCTGTGAAAAGCCTCATTTACAGAGAGACACCGTGAGGAAAGGCAATCAGCTTGGAACCCGCTAAGCTGGGAATTTATAACTGCTCTGCAAGGGAGAGCTCGGCCCTCCGCTCAGCAGGAGCGGCCACGGGAGCTGCGGGGACTCTCATCCCCCCGAGGAACACCCCTCCGGGGGTCCCCTGGCCCCCAGCATCCCCCCTCGAATAAGCTCCAAGACCAGAGGGTAAAAATGGTGATGGATTTCCTAAGCAGCCTCCGCCGGGAGACGGCCATCCGTGGAAATAGCCCAGAGCACCTCCGTCAGGAACGTGCCTGTTGGGCAAAAGGGAATTCTCAGGGGAAAAAGAGAAAAAATATGCATTTGGGAGGCGCTGCCTAACCCCTGGACATGGTGATGCCACCAGGCTGTTGCCTTTTGTGCTGGAGGACTCGCAGGCTGCCAGCCCCATGCAGACGCCTCCTCCTTCCCGCCGGCACGCGGACCCCCGGACCCCTGGACCCCCCCCAGCAGGCCACAGCACCTGCAAGGTCCTGCCACTCTACTGGGAGCACCAGAGCTGGGCTAATGCCCTCCCGGGGTGGCCACCCATGGTCTGCACCCGCTGCAACAGTCCCCAGGTGTGCTCGGTGGCACTGCCCCCTCAGAACAAGCCTGGCCCTGTCCCCTCGCTGCCGCGGTGACAGCGTGGCCGCAGACACCAGCGGGGAACAGTCAGCTCGCTTCCGTGGACAACCCCGAGGGGACTTGAAATTTTTTACTGTTTGTGAGTATCTGCTGGCGCTGGACTACTGAGGTGGCACAGGCACCTGCGTTAGCAGAGCCCACACTCCTTCCGTGATGGGCTCCGTATAAAACCCCTGACCGAAGGATGGAGAGCTAACATCATCATTTGTGCTGCATTTTTCTCCCCTGTGGAGGACGAGCTCCAGTTACTCCCATCCATCTCATTCTTTCAAGTCATCTTCATTCTGCAATTTCCCCTCACCCCGAAAAGAGTAAAAAATCGATCCATTTCTTTCCAGTTTCAGGCAGGGAGAGGGAAGGAACCCGGGGAGAGGCAGAGGATGCCTCTCGCCACTCTCCGCGTGCTCCTCCCTGCGCTCCCCGGCCAGAGCGCGTGAGTGTGGCTGGTCGGGAGTATTGATCCCTCCCCGGAAAGCGCAGCAGGCTGCGCTCGCACCCTGACCTCCAGCTCACCCTGCCAGCGCCAAAAACACACAGCTTCAGGCCCCTGAAAGGCAAAAAAACACGTGTTTTTCCCACGGGAGAAGGCGAAGGCTGTCCCAGCCAGGAGAGCAGCTTGCGGCCGCGCGGGATTGCCACCTACGATCCGTCTCCCCATTATTTTATTCCTGCGCCATACTTACATCCCCCTACAGGAAAGCGATTGATCCTGTGAAAATCAACTTTTCCTTTAAAAGACAAGGACATAAATAAATAAATAAATAAATAAATAAATAAATAAATAAATAAATAAATAAAAGCACATTTCTCAAGCATTCGCTCCTGTCTGCGCCAGCGGGACAAAACCTGACGGGCACTGGCACGTAAGAGCTTCATCCCATCCCGGCCCCGGCACACGGCCCCGGCACACGGCCCCGGCACGGCCTGGTGGGAGGGAAGGGGCTGCTGGGGAGCGCGGAGCAGCACGGGAGGGCCAGGAGCAGAGCTGACATCCCCCGGGAGAAGAGGGAAGGGGGTCGGTGCAAGGCAGAGCCGAGCCCCTCCTGGCGTGGCGGCAGCCACCGTGGGGACCCAGCCGCTCTGCCACGCCGTGGGAAGGGTTTAGCAGGTGTGAGAATCCCCTGAAGGAGAAGGACGGGCCCTGACCCCGTCGGCACCGAGTTGTGTTTGGTTTCGGCAGCTCTGTGCAGTGTCACGGCAAGGCGGGACCTCTCACAGCGCTCTGGCACGCGCCTGACACACCCTTTATTATGTTTTAACAAAATAAAAGCCAACCACACACCAGCGTAACATTCTAGAGGCAAATGTCTCTGCTGTAGCGTGGTTACTCTTACGCTGAATTTATGCTGTAATACATCACCATTGTACCCTGTGCCATATCTGACAACAAATATGATTTTAGGTGTCATGCAGCCGGCATTTAATTATTGGAGACAGGGGCTTAATGGTATTTGTGTCACGGGAGTGAGTGGTACAGATGTGTCTTGACTCAAGGAGGCTGAAGTGCTCACTTCAGAACTACCTCTCCCGATAATAGGTAATTTTACAAAAATGGTTAAATGAATCAGATTCAAACAAGGTCTGTTTTTTCCATCTGATCAATAGATCCGAAAGAAACAATGCCAAATATCATGAGTTATTGTGCAGCGCTGATGACTGTCAGGACAATGGGCATAGCAAAGACAAATACACACCTTTTCCTCAGTTATTACTTTAAGCCTTTTATTATCATTATTAGGGGTGATTTAAAATCCCATTAATCAGATGCTAAACAGATTAAACTCTATGAATTAATTTTCTGGAAATAACTAAGACAAACATTCTGTGCAGGGCTCATTTAATGAAATAGAAGCTGTTTATCTGCAAAATTAGGGCTTGCGCATATCTGAGCTTCTGCTGGAAAAATCCTCTACGGTGTGGGCAAGGCGGGTGCAGACTGGAGACGCCACCTATTTTTTACCCATTCTAAGTAAAAGAAAGATCTTGCTCTAAGTAATTTATGATTCATTACACAAAGAGCTCATTAGCCAGGACTAGAAAATAAAATTACCATCATTTAAGAAATAATTTCTTGATTTAGTGTTTAAGAAAAGGAGGCTGCGGGACAGAGGAAGCGTGTGCGCCCAAGGGCGATGGGGGTCTGCCCGGGGTGGGGGCTCGGCACAGCCGGGCCTCTTCCAGCCCTGCCAAAATGAGCCACCTCCTCCCTTGCCTGGCTCTGCCCCGCGGCCACTGCGGCCTCGCCCGGAGGAGCTGCGGGTCTTACCGGCATCCCTGGGAGCTTTGGCCCAGCTCGCTGACGCGCTGGGTGAGGGGTGGCCTCCTCCGGTGCACCTCTGCGTCTTGGGCAGGACGGCTGGCCTACGAAAGCCAGCGCCGGGCATGGCCGGGACTAAGGGCAGCTGCGAGAGCGCCCGCCTCAGCTCAAAGTCCTCCTAAGCATGAGCCTGGCCGTGACTCACCAACGCTAAAACCCCAAGAGTCCGCTTTATTTCACCTTTGCGCTTCGGCATGCTGTGAAACTACCATAAATAATTTGTTCATAGTTGTGGATAATACTAGGGAATGTTTTAATTGCACAGACGTATCCCTGTGGGTTGAAGTTTGGCCTGTTATTCATGAATGTCAACAAACCGGTGGGGAGCAATCGCGTGGCCGCCCAGGAGCCCATGAAACGCCCGTTGGTTCATCAAGGAGCAGCTCAGCACCAACCTTGTGCCCGGCTGGGACCGAGTCATCCGAGAAGGACGACCTTGAAAGAGCTCCCTAAACTAAGATGCCTTCTTCTGGTACGTCAGCAAAACACGAACCTGGGGAACTCCAGGTTGGGGCTGGCTTCGGAGGTTGAGATTTACATAAAAGATGACACCAAGTGCGTAAGGCAGGGGAGGAGAACAGAGTTCCACCAGATTAAACTGCTCAGCCCTGCAGCCCACCGGCCCAGCAGCACTGAGATTTTAAGTCAGTCTGAGGATTTTCTTCTTGGTTTATCTACCTCTGCACCCCTGCGTTAGTCACGTCCTCAACCTTTCCTCCGCAAGCAGGAGGCCAACGGGAGCCAACACTCCTCCGTAACCAATTTTACCTACTAACAATTAAGCAAGAAGATGGCTCTTATCAGTTTTGCCATTAACGACAATGATACAGGAAATAAGCACGGATTGATTTTTCACCAATATCTTTCCCTCCCACAATTACGGAGCTGCCTTGGAGCGTAAAATATTGGAGCCAACGTGATAAAAATGTTTTGTCTATGGCGAAATAACGCCCTGGCCAAGAGATGAGGCAGCATGACAGTGCCGCAGTTGGGTGCTATGGCTTCAGTACGCACTCGGCCCATGAAGCCCCTGCGGGAGCCCGTGGCAGAGGTCGGCAGAGCCTCCTCCCGTGCTGCCCCACACCCCCCTTGCTGCCCCACAGCCCCGTGCTGCCCCACAGCCCCATGCTGTCGCCGTGCCCTTCCCCTCAGGTACACTGCTGGAGCTGCAGCCAAGGAGAGGGGCTGGGAGCCCTCCCTGCCCGCCTGCCGCAGCCCTGCCTTTGCCACAGCCCCCCTTTTACCCAGACCCCCCCCAGGTGCTCATTTGCCACCGGTCTAACGATGCACAAGCATCGTCACCCTCCGGGTCCTGGCTGCCGTGCAACCACGGTCACGTCCTCCTCCTAAAATTGCCCAGCTACTCACGGCTCTTCTCCCCATCCCTGGTGTGACGAACAATCCCAAGCTCTAAGGCATTTCTCTGGTTCCTAAGTAATGCTTTTGTGCTAAAAAGAATGCACTGGAGGAGCTTTTAAAGGCAGTGTCCAATCCTTAAAGCATCATCAGAGACAAGTGGACCTCCTGTTTGCATTCATTTATAGCCTTCTCTAGAAATTGCCCATTGAATTACTATTTCTCGTGCCTGTTTAAATAAATAGGCGTATCCCTTATTGCTGTTGAAAGTTCCATGTTTGGCCTTTTTAAGTCATTTGATTAGGATGTAGAGAGAATATTTTAGCAGCAAGGAAGGCACTGACAATCAGCCCTAGTAAGAATAATCCAATTTTCTTTGCAAAGAAGGGCAAGGGTCCTCCTAGGAGGTCAAAGCTCCCTTAGCACAATTAGAACTTTAATTAATGAAATTGGCTGAGCCTCTGCCAGTGGAGGAGGCAGCGTGTTTGTCCCTGCCCAGCAGAGATCTGGGCGGGGAGCCACAAGCTCCCCACGCCGCAGGGCAGGGGGCTCCCCTGGCTGGCAGAGCTGCGCAGGCCCCCCTGCTCCCCCCCAGAATGCAGCCAGACCCCCCCAGCCCACCCTGGCAGCCGTTTGCTCCAGGGATGCACCTTTGGGCTCTTCATCCAAGGCCAGGAGCAAACCTGGCCTCCTCCAGCTGCTCTGTGACGAGCGGCACGACTCTCGGTATGTCGTGCTGTTCAGACATGCTGTCTGCAATTAATATTGCATAACGGCCTCCTGATTCCTAAATTATGTATTTCTCCTTCTCAGCATTGTTGTGTTTTTTACGGGGTTAATTATTTTCCATCATTCTGCCTTTAGCAACAGTTGTCTTAATTAAGGGGGCCAAGTTCCGCTCTCATTTCTGCCTGGCGGATCCTAATGAAATCAATGGAGCCGCACAGTGTAAATGGGAGAGGGACGGTGGCCATCTACGCACAAATAAAACGTTCCCTCTCCTGTTGATTAATGCGTAAAATTAAACCACGGCATAACCTCCAACTTCTGACTAAATGTCACCGAGTAAATTACTGCCCGAGTCCCACTCAGAGGGGCTTTTCCACGTGCTGGTCAAACCCGGCCACCAGCCCACCGCCGGGGGACGGAACCGACACGGGATGCTGAGCTCAAACCCTGCCTCTGCCCAAACCCGCGCCTGCCAGTGTCCCCCCGGGCTCAGCTCAGGGGTAACCCACCGGTCTCTCCTGCCTCTAAGAGCAGCAGAGGGGCTTCTCTCCAGCTATTCCTCCCCTGCCTGCATTTCCTGACAGCCGCCTGTTAAACCAGAGCCAGGCAACCGTGCAGCGCAGGCTCCAATAAGTGGATCCACATGCAATATTCATGGATGGCTTCGGAATAGTCACAGATCCATCACGCTTGGCAGGAGGATGCCGCGCTCCGAATGCTGAGCTTAAGCACCTTTTTGAACCCGAGCCCCGAGGAGGGGCACAGAGCTCTGCCTGGAGCATGGCCGAGGGCAGCCTGGAGTCTCCTCGGATGGTGCCGACGAGGCCAGAGTCCCTTCTGAGATGGTTCCTGTAAGAAAAGGCCTCTGGGAGGTGGACGAGGGCCACCAGAGTCGTCAGCCCATGTCCCCCACGATACAGCACTGGGGTGCTCCGTGCCGTCCCTGCCACCAGCAATGGCTCTTTCCCAGCAAACCCCTGCCTGCCCCACAGCCCCCAAGGTGGGGGAGACCCGGGGAGACCTTGGGAGCCCCGGGGCCACGGAGCACCCCCAGTCCACCCCCCCAGACTGCTGCTCCTGCGGAGGCGAGCAGATGAGCCCCCGACACCGAGGGAACCCGGCTGAGCCAGCTCTGAGGGGTCTGGGGGAGTTGGGAATGGTCGGGGTGAGGGTCATGGCTGGGCTGGAGGAGCTGCAGGGGCTTCTCCAGCCGAGATCATTCTGGGATCTGAGCCCAACCAGAGCTTCGTTCCCTCACTCAGGTTGGTTTACCAGCTGCTTCTACGTCTGGCCAGCACCACACTGCAGCTCCCAAACGGACCTCACCACCCAGGATTAATTTTTACTCAATCACTCCAGAGTCTATGGTAATCACTCCTTTAAAAAATGAAGAGATTTGGGATTTTTCTTCAGTGCGGAGGATTAGGTCTAAATACACGTAAGCTGCAGGAGGCTCAGCTGCATGCCCACCGCTGACCGCTCCCTCACTCTCCTTTCAGGAGTGTTTGCCGCAGCAGGGCTGTTTGTCCTCGGACAGGCGGACAGACCGACAGACACATCCCTGGAGTGCCGCGCACCCCTGGGCTCGCTGCCTCCTGCTCCGCTCCAGAGGGTCCCTGGCGTGTGGCTGCTCCTGCCCCTCGCCCCGGGACCTCTCTGGTTTCCCTGGGGAGGAAAGTGCAGTAATTATCCCTCCGGACTCGTAAGGCAGCGCCGCAAACCAGCTGGCGGGACCTTTGTAAAGCACAGCACACTACTAAAAGAGAGGACTGGCTTCAGTCCTGAAGCCTTTAGGAACTCCCTGGTGGTTTCCCTAGGTGAAGCAGCAGTACCAGTGTGGGAGCTGGCCGTCTCCCCAGGCCCGGGGCAGATGTCTCTGTGTTCCCCGAGTCTCCAGGAACTTCCACCGGCCAGCACAGGTCGCTGCCAGCTGGGCAGAGGCAGCTGCCTGCCCTCCTGCCTGCCTGCCTGCCTGCACCACCAGTGATGTGCCTTGTGTTAAAGGAGGTGGGATGGAGAGCTGGAGCCCCCCACGCTGGTGCGAGCAGCTGCCGCCTTTATCCCCATCCCCTGCCCGTGCCTGAGCTTCCCCCCTGGCAGGGCTGCCACTTCTGCCTCCCTTTCCCCTGCCAGGCTTGCAAAGCTCCACCTAACTAAGCCTGGTCTTGCATTTACAGCAGCAGCAAGTGGAGGAGGCGACTACACGCACGCTTGGGGCTGGATGTCCACACGTTCCTGGTGGGACACGAGCAAGACGTGGGGCAGCCCCTGCCTGGGGCACAGGGGGACAGGCAGTGGGCTCCTGGGGCTGCCAGAAAAGTGGGGGCTCGGAGCCTGAACGAAAATACTGTACGCAGTAAAGTCAGAAAGGGAGGCGTGCCCTTTATGTCCAGCAAGCGTTTTTGCAAATATAATTAAAATAAATATATATCTGGGACTGGTCTGACCGCAGGTATAAGGATGCAGTGCCAGATTTTTAAAACAAAATAACTTAAGCACTTAGAAAAGGACTCAAGCAGACTTTGGGTACTTATGTTCAAAATAATTGTCCCAGGAAACCCAATTCAGCAGCCACCCGGGCTGAAAGCACTTAGGCACACTCGGGCAGGCGTTCAACAAAGCATTTAGCTACCCCTGCGCAGCATCAGCAGAAACCACGGGGCCTTCGTCAGGGCAGTGACTCAGGGAAACCACTTTGGTGCTGAGACGGCCGGGGTCCCGCCTGGGTCCGGCCTAGGACCAGCCTGGGTCTAGCCTAGGTCCCACCTGGGTCCTGCCTGAGTACTACCTGGGTCTGGCCTGGGTCCAGCCTGTGTCCCGCCTGAGTCCAGCCTGGGTCTGGCCTGGGTCCCGCCTGTGTCCTGCCTGTGTGCCCCCATGTCCCACCTGGGTCCCCCTTGTGTCCCGCCCAGGTCCAGCCTAGGCCCCAAGCCCCCTCCGTGATGCTGTCCCCTGTGCCTCTCCGTTTGTGACCGGCTCCTGCCTCAGTTGGCAGCTGCAACCTCTTTAAGACGCGGGGAGAGCGCGGTTTGTCCGCCCGGCAGCCGCGGGTGCGTCGCTCCTCGCCGCCTTCCCCGGGGAACGCGCTTCCAGTATGAGTGGAGAGGCTGCAAGGAGGAGCCTTGTCTGCTAAACACGGCTCAGGAGGGAGAACGCTCCCGGTAAATAAATTCATAGAGCTTCACACACCAGCGGGCTGCGAGCACCTGGTCTTAAAGAGACTTTGAAACTATTTTGGGTGCAGTCTGTCAGAGCGAGACCCCCTTATGCCTGGAGACCCTAAACACCAACTTCAAAGAAGGGAGGGAAACCGCAAATACAGCCCGGGAAAGGTGGATTTCAGTGGGGGCAAATCTTCAATCCCAGTTAAAAAGACCGTGTCCCGTCTCCATGAATAAGTCAAACAGAAGGAACCTTTCCTAAGCGCACAGCCAACCCGACGGGTGCTTCCTCCGTCGGGCGTGAAAGCGAATCGATGCTCCTGCTTCCTTTCATGTGGTGTAGCTGCACTTCTCCTCCGCTGAAATGCCGTCTCTCCTCTGCTCCGCCTGCCGGAATCCTTGTCTCTGTTTCAAACACTTTTCCTCCCTTCTGCAGTCTTTTCCATAAAAATCCCCTCAGATGCATCTGCTGGATGTTGTTTTCTTATTGGCAACAGGCTGATGGCCGGTGAGGGCCTCCAAGCTGGTGGTCCTGCCCTGCCCATTCCTGCTTGGAGAGCCTCAGATCTAACCGAAATAGTAATTCCTACGGATTTCCTCTCCTAGCAAGCACGATCGCTTAAGGAGGGGTGTTTATCACCCGCCGAGGACTTGGTGTAACCCACCCCAGCGGCGCGGGACGTGTCCTTCTCTGCCCCTTGGCTACATGGCACCTTGCAAAACACCCTGTAAACAGTGAAAATACTGGCTCACCCACCCACCCACCTCCTCCTTCAAAGCTTCACACAAAAACCAAGCCACCTAATTGAGGAGCAACATTCCCGGGCCGGGAGCTCTGTACCGGGGCCTCCCCACTCCTCTCGCCCGCAGCCTCCGGCGAGCTGAGCCGCTGTGTCAATTACAGGAAAATCAATGAAGATACTGCTCAGGACTCCTTTTCACCATTCAGCGCGGATGATATCCTTCACTTTCTAGCACTGATTCATTTACTTTCAGCCTCTCCAGGGGCTCCTGACATATTGCTATCTCTGAAGAATCTGAAGCAAGAACTGCCTTTGTTTCCACTGCAACTTGTTGGCGTGCGCAGGCTCCGGGGACGGCGCGGCCGGGGCTGGGGCTCACAACGGGGTCAAAAGGAGAGCGGCCGCTGCACAAGGCAGGGTTTGAAACATTTCTTGGCAAAGCGTCTTTCCGATGTCCTCGCAGATCTCAGGGATTGGGCAAAATGGATCCAAAGCCCAGGGCTGGCATCCCAGTGACCTCCTTCCTCCTACTCCACGCCGTCCTGGCCGAGCTCTCCCCAGCGGCAGTGGCTCAGGAGCGCTGCTGCTCCTCCCGCTGCCCTGCCACAGCCAAGACATCCCCCTCCGAGCCCCCAGCCCCTACTGCTGCTGCCGGGGGCTTTGCCTGGGCCACCGCAGCCTTCCCACGCTGCTCGCCCACTCCTGACAAAAAAACCCTGATCCACTCACAGCTTGTGCCGGGGACACGTTTCCTGGGCTCTGGGACACCATGGGGCCACCTGCAGAAGGTCCCACTTGCCCAGCAGCCTGTTGGCAATAAATACCCTGCCCTTGCTCATTAACTTCCCGGGGGCAGGTGGGTGTTTGTACAAAGCCCGAGAGCAGGAGTTCTCCTGCCTGAGGAGTGGTGGAAAAGCAGAGGGGTATATGGCACAAGGGCTGTATGGTCTGGCTCTGGGGTTTGTACCCGGGACACGGGGTCAGAAACTACAGAAGGCAGTGTTAAGTGTTATGGAATTGATTTCCAAAATATCTAAAGGCAACGAGTTGTGGGTGGTGTAACCTGGGCCGCCTGGGGGGACGCGTTGAAGCTGGGTACACGGTGCTGGGCGGGCGGCAACAGGAGCCATGTGAAGAGTCACGTAAAGACCCAGTCTCCTCTATCAGAGGGTGGTATTTCCCACATGCCCATCCTTTCCGCTCCCCGCCAAAGCCGCAGGCATCCCACAGGACCTGGGTGCAGACCCCCAGGCCATACGCAGGCCGAACTCCCACTGAAGGCCGAAGCACCACGCCGTGACGTCGGACCCAACCCTGCAAGCTCCTCATGTTCCTCCTCTTCAAAGAAGCTTCACGCGCGCAGAGCTTGCAGGATATAGCCCAGAGCAAGGATGGTGCTACAAAGACAGTATTTATTATTTATAAGGCACTTCTGTGAGCTCGGGGCTCAGAGGCAGAGCTGTCTATGGGGGCGAGCTTTGTAAGAGAAAAAAACGGAGCTTGAAGAACCACTGGAAGTATTGCAGCGTGCAGAAGTCATGCTCGTTGGAGACACCCCTCAGATTACGGCACCCGGGGCTCTCTCGGAGTCCACGTGGCACCTGCTGGGTGATTTGTGGGCCCGTTTAATTACCAGTAGGGTTCTTTTAAGTGGGATCATGCCCTACACCCCACGTTTTCCAAGAATGCGGGGTGTCCCGATGCGGCTGCGTAGGCCGCACGTGCCGTACGGGGATGCCCGGTGTCACGGGGAAGCGCTGTGGCCCCGAGCTGGGGAGCAGGGGGGACGTGGGGCGCCCACCCGGACGGCGGGACCCCAGCGAAGGCGCAGGGGCCCCGGCAGCCCCGGCACCC